ACAGGCACAACTATTTACAAAAAATTTCACACAAGTAGTTGTGAACATGCCAACACAGAATATTTCACTTTGCTTTTTAATATTTTCCGGACAAGTAGCAGGAGCTCTCAGAGCTCTCTTAAGGAACTCAGCCATTTGCAGACTGTGCACCTACAGAGCCTGAAACCACGCATCAGAATGGTTTGGAAAAATGTAAGAGAAGACTGAAAGAGAAGGAGAGACACTTGAGACAGACTTTAAGACAGCCAGAAAAATCCTTCCCGAATAAATACACAGTCCCTAAACTATACAGAAATAAAGGAAGCAGCAGAGTCTGAAATGCAACTAGACCTCATTTTGCTTTTGAAGCACCCAGCTTCAAAGTTCTAAACCAAACATCGGCTTACACACTTCTGGGGCATCTATTTGGAAAATATGTGTGACTCTCCAGACCACAAGGGGAAGAAGATTCACAGGGCAGCTCTGGAAGTTTAAGCCATGATGTATCCATGAAGACACCCATGTGCCAAAGTTAGGCCATGGAGCCCAACAGACCTACAGTTCACAGTTCAGAAGCTGAGTTTTTTGAGCATTAAGAAAAGAGTGTTTCATCTTGACACCTTTCCAGGTAAGGCTGCAATGCTCTGTGTTGAAATTCTAAAGAAAGGAGCTCAGAAACTCAGCAAACTTCCCAGATGGCAGTGAGGATGCTCAACAAAATGCTGCAAACCAGATGCCAAACAAATTTTTATTGTGTACGCTCATTTGCTAGCAGGTGGATCTAAAACCTGCAGTCTGAAATCCAGATCAAGTGCACCAAATGAATGCAACGCTTTCCAGAAAGCTGATAAATCACCAACAGCCAAGGGAACAACCGGGTTCAGCAGACACCAGCGAGGCTCTATACACTTCCCTGACTTGGGGCCTCAGCTGTCAGTAAATGCCTCCAAGTATGAATTTTACTTCCAAGGACAGTTTAACTGGAGAATCAAATTGAACGGACATCACTGTGCTTCAAGTAACACTCAAAATACAGCTTTTATTTTTACATCAGCAATTCTAAAAAGCTTTATTTTTCAGATTAATCTACACAATTTGGGCTCCACTCTTTCTTTACTCTGTACAGGTCATATGCAATACTATGCATACAATTTGCCAGACATCCTGCAGATAGGCTGGGTAGAACAAGATCCCCTGTACTCACAAAGTAGATTTGGTGCTAACAGCCACAGCTGGACTACACAGGATGCACATTCTCTACAGCTTCACGCTCCATTAGTCACATGTGCTCACTGACCTTGAGTTCATCTTCCTTCCAAACCCTCTGCCTTGGTCCTGCTGTGAATGCTTCATCCTGGAGCTCACCAATCTCCATAGGAAAGCCACCCGCAAAGCAACTCAGCTGTAGTAAGGCACTTCAGTGTCACCAGGAAGGGACATTTCAGGGAGATGAATTCCAGCAATTCCAGCAACTAGAAAGGTATCTCTGATTTCTAACCTCATCCAAATCCATCAAAAACGTGACCCGACACTCCGGGGCACTCCGAACAGAGTGAGTGGTAGGAGGGGGGAAAGACAGGAGGTGCCCCTGGGTGCCATGGGCTACATAAAGACAGAGCAGGAAAAGCACAGCTACTAGTGCTCAGCATCTCCTGGCTCCAAGGCCATCACAGAGATGCCACAGCAAAGCTTAGAGATGCTGACCTCTCCTAGGGCATTCCAGCTCCCATCCCTGCCTTCCCACTTGCCCTGTGCTGCCAGGCTTTCCTTGGTGCTTCTCTAAGTCTGCCCTGGCTCCATGCCAGCCCATGGCAGCACTCTGACTTATTGTACCTCAGCACACAACCCCCACAGATGGGGGTTGGCAGCCCCAACCTGAGAATCAGACTGTAAGACATGGCCTAAAAATGCAGCAGGCATGAAAGAAAATACAAGGTAGGGGCTGGATCCATTTAGGAACCCATCCCAATTTCCTCTGCTCTGTAGGAATTATGTCATCTAGAATCTCCTTCACTGGGAGCATCATTCCAGGGCACAAACTGTGCATGAGCAAAAAGCTCTATTTATGAGAGGAGAGAAGCACTGGGAGCACCCTCCTAGCAGAGGGGACAGGGAGCCCTCACCGGGTTATAGCAGGTGCTCTGCGCCCTGACATACAAAGCAACTGGGAAGCACTGGTCAGCTTAATAACACTGTGTCTTGCAACTGGGAATTCATGTGTGATTCTGTGATTCTGTGGAATTTCATAGCCTTCGAAATTGTTCCTCCAGTAACATCAGGTGACTAGTAGCAGCGTGTTGAGTCTGATAGCACAATCACTCACCGAGGAAATCTTACTGTGGGAATCTAACCAAGCACTGGGCTTTAGCTCCCCTCATGCCAGCATCTCCCTTGCCCACATCAGCTAAGTTCTACCCTTGGTTTAGTGGGATTCCAAAATTATTTCCTCCACTGAATAGTTTCTTACATTCCTGAAACTCCTCAAACCAAGAAGGAAGCCCGATAGAGAAGTCCAAAGTTGCACCTTTACAGGGTATGCAATGGCCATGCACGTTTTACCGGGGTACAAAGCCTCGGCACCAACAAGCACCCAGACTGTAACTGATGTCCTGGCACAACATCTTCCCTCTTCAGCAGTGGTTTCTTTGCTTGGTGCAATTTACACCAAGTCTCCCTCCTAACACACTACATGGGTATGAAGTACCCCACTACCACACTCTTACCTGAATAACATCAATCCAGGCTGACAGCTCCCTGATCAAGTAATCAAGTAAAACACAGCTAACAGGTAATTTTTATCTCATGGCACCTGCAGGTCACATCCTCTCGCTCACCACAGTTCACTGCCGAAGCTCAGAAAGCAAAGGAAACAGGCATTTGCTGACAGGAACCTCTGCCCTCCTGGAGAGGAGGCACCACACAGCTTCCAGATTGGTGGATCCAAGCCACAGAAACTCAAATTTCATGTAAGAAATTGACTTCACTGTATCTTCAGATCCACCCATCTGGATCAACAAAGTCTGCACAGAGAAACTGACAGCAGCATTGAGCCAGCACACAGACTTGGCCACCGAGTGAGCCCGAGTCCACTCAGTTCTGTCACATCTTGAAGGGAGAATGCAGCTGGGCCCAGAGGGCTGGAATATCCACTTCAAAACTAAAGTCTATAAACTTTTCCAGGCAACAGAGGAAAAATCAGTCTCTCTGGGGAAGTGTGGAAGGAGACAGACACATTACTGAGATGCACCGTGAGAGAAACATTTGCATCACTGGGAGAAGGATGTAACCAGAAGATCTGAACGTTGCCTGTGAGAACAGCATCTGTTACGGACAACATGTGCGGATAAACTAGCTCTATCCAGGCTTATTCAGCTTCAATGTAGATAAAGTAATCAAACCAATAGCATTCATCTCCTTCAAACAGAAACCACTACTACAGTTTGTAGCATTCCAAGAAAATTTTAATGCAGGTGCACCATCGTTACTCTTGGCACTTCAATAGCTATCATATCAAACCCAAAACATTTCCAACTCCTTTAAAGCAGTTACACAGTTCACCAGTTCAGGATACAACCCCTATCAATGACTGCAGCTCGCATGGAGACAGAGCAGTAACATCTTAATGGACAACAATGACAGTCACTTGCACACACATAATACTAAAGATGTCACCAGTCAACACTGAGAGCTCTTCTGTGATAAACAGGAGCTATGGTGACTTCAAGTGAATCCAAGACAGAGATCCATGGAGATAAACACAGGCAAGTCAAAGCCCCACAGATGACCGATGCTGGGAGCTTACTAGCTGAGACTAAGCCCCTTATTCCTCAGAGAGGAAAGAAAACTGCAAAAAACTGTTACAAGCATTTGATGATATTGAGGGAGACACACAAAAAGTGAATATATAAATGCTAGCTTTACAACCAGAGAGAATACTCTTTCAGAGAAAACAGACACAAAGAGAGAGAAAGACTTGCTGGAAACGTCATTTGGAATGGTAAGAGGAATCTTCTAAAATACTCCATAAAATTTCTAGGTGCTGTAAGTACCAGCAATAGCTCATCAGAAACGTGTTTCTAACTCAGGTAAAACTTGCTTGAAGATCTCCAGCATAAAAGAAGCTACCAGAAACAGGAATAGACCACAGAGGATAGATATATCCTGGGAAAGCAGAAGGCACCAAGCTGAAGGAAAGAGGCAGCAACATGCACAGCAAAGCAGAAGCACACTATAACCAAGGACACTCTGAAGAGTCCAGGCAGAGGGGGAAGCTTCAGGTGCAGTTTTTGAGACTTGCCACTGACTGAACTCTTGGGACCTGTAGGGAACTTGAAGAGGAAAAACTCGGGACATCATTGCAAGCTATCTGCATTCTGCCACACAAGCAGGCTGTGGGGGTGTCACCCATCAATCTAGATTGGTGGATCTGAGGATATAAAACTAATACTTTCTGTGACAAGGTATAACTATTATTTACTAGTGTCAGGAACAGCTCTGTGCCACACTTACATTCAAACTTTATACAGGGATATGCTGAAGCTAGATAGCTAGAAAATTCAGGGAGGGCTAATCAACATATAACTCCCTTGAATCTCCATATTGGTAGAAATACATTCCTCAAACTTATTCATTTTAGTGCTAAAGAATCTAGCACAGTTATGTATTTCACAAGTAACACAGAAACAAGAACATCTACCTAGTGAAAAATAATAAGCAGTGAATAAAGAGACAGGAAAATGACAGTGAACAGGTCTTGGATTATCAGCTATAATTTATCTGAAGTTAATCAACTCTGGATGGCAGTAGCTCCAGTGTTGGAGGAAGATCCCAAATTCAACAATTTCAACTCTGAAAAAACAAACAAACAAGAAAACCCCACCTCTTTTACATTGAATCAAATGGACAGATTTGAACAACCTAGAAAAAATATGAAGTATTCATCCTGCATATAAAATAAAACTGCTTACTGGCTAAATCATTCGAAGATGTTTCATTAGTTGTGCATTTGGCTTTATACTCACATGTGTGGATTTTGGAAAGGAACTCCTGAAGTGTTTAGAGTAAATCTTGCTGTAGACTTGAAAGGTGGATTTGCAAAATTTAACTTCAGCGCTTTGCGTTTACCTGGGAGACAATGAACACAAAGTAAACTTTTTGTCAGCAACAAAACAGCATTTTGTAAGAGCATCAGGAAATAAGCAGAAAAAATATAACACTTTGTAAGAAAAGGAAAACACATTTCACAATTACATAAGCAAATCATAACTTGTGTTAGGAACACAGGAATCAAGAAAGTGAATTAATTCTCACCCCAAGGTCTTCCCCGTCCCGTTCCACCTCAGTCACTAAGCAGAGGTGTCCCGAGGACTTTCTGTGGCAACTGGAGGACCAGCATCAGCAGCCAGAACTACCAACAGCCATGGGGCACCTCCACACACAATCCTCATTTAAACACATTTCACACTGAGCTCAGCTCCAGCCTGGTAGCAAAGGGGACTTGCTCTACTTGGTACATCTACCAGAGCCAGGATGGACAGCAAAGGTAAATGGAAGCACTGGATGTCTTATATGAAACCCCAACTGCAGAATCACTGACATTCCTCAGCCTCACAGCAAATTAAGCATAATTAGGCTTAAGCAAGGATGGAGGAGATACGCTGTGTGCTCCTATTGCCAAGTGGGTCACCGAGCAGAAAGCAAAGTTCAGCCCAACAGAGCAGTGACCAGGTGGGAAAAAGCTTTGCTCTGCAGCCAGCTGAGACACTGGGCAGAAAAACATGCAGAAATAAGAAGGTGGAAATGGGGGGGGGGAAAGCTGCTGGGCACTGCTCCAGCCACTAGCTATGTATTTCATAAGCACCAAAGAATCAGAGCCTACAGAAGTAAGATATCCCTTCCCAGCCCTCCTAGTGGGCTGCAGAACTGTCTGGAAACAAACAATAAGACAGTTGTTTTTAAAAACTATGAACGTACCGCAAGAGGGTGATCAATGAACAGCTTTGCTCATCCCAAAAGTAAACCTGTCATCAAAATACAGAGAAATGCCACTGCTGGTGCTGACAGCTGATCTGCTTTGGGGTAGTTCTGCTCTCAGACTGGGTCTGGTGATTTAGAACTTTCATCATTCTTCTGGTTTTGTTTTATTCACATGCTTGAAACACTATCCTTCTCTTCCCAGGGCAACAGTACAGTAGTGCCATATGATTTTCCATTTGGAACCACAACATTTACACGATGTGAGCATTTGTCCTTGAAGCAGCCCAACACTGAAAGCTACACAATTAGCTACAGGCTCCTATCAGTAAGATTTCCTCTTCTGAAGACCTGTTCCTACTCTTTACCTACCTGCAACACTTTATGCACTAAATTTCCTTGCACTGAGCGTACTTCTGTTTAAAAATCACTGTTAAACATCAATCTATGGATTTCTATGTCATTACGTTTCTAAGAATAGTTTCAACAATATCAATTCAACACCTGGACCTGGATTTTCTACAAATCCAATAAACACAGAAGCATGACCTACCTCAGGAAGGCAAACAGGATGGTTTGCTTTTTCCTCAAGTTATTAACAAGGAAAAGGACTAGGGGAGACACGATCTTGCTGGGAATTTCCATTCACATACTGTAAACAAAATAGTACACGAAACAACACATCACACTCTCCTCCTCAATAGCCTTTCAAAATCAAGCACCTTAGCTACCCAGTCTGGATTGCGAGTTTCATTCCAAAGATCTGAAAGCTCCAAGCCCTCACTGCTGGCAAAGACTTCACTCAAAACTAATGGAGGTAAAAGAGCTTCTTTAGATACATGAGTTTTGCTGGTGATTTTAGCACAGACATTCACACCACCCTGTTCTTCCCTCTAAACTAAAGAGGCCAAGAACTGATATGCTTCTGAAATGAGCTAATGCCACTGTCACCATCAAGGCTGCATGCACAACGTTGTCCTAGAACATGCTGTAGAAAGATCCATTTCATGTAAATTAACCATCCTCTAAAGGTTTTGCTAACAATATGTAATTCTGACCATTGACTGCTCTAACATATGCACCTCTGGAAATTGTGAATGCACCAGAGAAGCAATATTCAGAAAAAAAACCAACAAGCAGAAAACAACACCCCTCATTTTGGAACCTACTGCTCTCTCATAAATGAGGCTAAACCTCAAAAACAGACCTGAAACTATGGCAGATTTTCAGCTAAAGTCTTACCAATTTTGACTGACAGATTTGTTAAGCTGCATGTTAATGGTCATAACGATGTTATTTTTTGAATGCAAGATGGCCTTGGCTTTCTTGAAGTGGTAAAAAAGCTTATGTTTTGAAGGCGTCTAACCAGGACTGTAACTATCCTAGGCTGTACTTGTTTCAGAGCCCAAACAGGCATTTATCTGAAGTTAATTTTCTATCCATAAGATGATAGTAATACTTATTCCAAGACACTACTACCATTAAATAATAGTGTTCTTCTCTAAAAAGGATTTGAATACAAGACATTGCTACAAGGCACAAAAGTAACAGAGATGCTTTCCCTGTGTCCTGCAATTCAACAGCCACACATCCCTTGGCATTTCATTCACTGAGGGCCAAAAAGGACCCTGTGGAAGAAAAGCAGCTGGGAAGCCTTGCCAGGCACACACCAGAGGTCACCTGCACAATGGCCAGAGCAGAACAACCCAGCTCAAAATGCACATTTGTTTCCTGTTGCATGATTAAGTGGATGCTAGATTAAGTACATAATTATTTATGTGCTGCTATCCATCACCAGGATTAATCCAGGCACTTGGCTCTGCAATTAGGTTCTCATCACTCATTTTGAGGCTACTTTACCACAACCACAGCCAACCTGTCTTTGTATAAGAGGAAACAGCCACCTCCCAGATAACATAGAGTACGAGGTATTCCTCCAGTTACATCCTGTATTATTATTTTTACTTCACCACAGACATCAACAACTTCTCCAAGGCTCTAAGTCACCTCCTGTTGGACAAAACAACTACTTTTCTCCTGGAAATTCCTTACCCCAACTCCTGCATGCCACACCTACACAACAGATATTCACAATATTCATGTTACACATAAGAAAATGCTTTTCAACTTTTCAAAACAACAGCAGATAAATGGATTTTCTTCGGGGTTTCTGTCTTGCAGGGCCACAAACTGACCCTTATGGGAGTGCTTGGTCCAAATCTGCCCTATCCACCAACTGACACGGTGTGAACGTGACTGTCACGGTGCAAGTGTGACTCTTCTCCCTGCATTCCAAAGCCTTTCTGCTGTTTGCGGAGCAGCAATATGCCAGGAAGCCATTTTACACTTTATTTCCTTGCTCTAGTATTGTAAGATAACAGAAATAAAACCAAAAATGAGTTGTGGCAGAAAACAGCAGGCAGATAATCAGGGAAACTGCAATAGCTTTGTAGCCTTCTTACACTTGCTTGATTAAGCCAAAACATGTCAACAAAGCATGCAAATAAGAGGACAGGATGTCAGGAGGCCAGGCAGGTGGGCGACCTGCTTCAGTCTGAGAAAAGCTGAGTGCTTGAAGACACCTTTCTAACAGAAAACTGCAAAATACCAGGTCTGATCAAAAAGAAAACGACACAACACAGATCCCTTTGCTCTTCCAACAACTCTTATTATTCAAATAGTTAGATCTCCTCTGCTAACAAAATGCCTGCTTTGATGTAGCAGGCAGAATTCACTGCTTGCTGTCTCCATTGCTCCTAACACAGCGCTACTTTCCCATAAGATCTTCCAATCTGTAATCTTGCTGTTAAGTTTCCTTCCTTTCCAGTCTTGCTCATGGAGGTACTCCAAAATCAGCACTACTAATTTGAGAGTAAAGCAGGCTTCCAGCCTTGCCCTCCAGACATACTATTTTACAAATAAAAACTAGCCAAATTTTGAAACAAAACATGACGAACTTCAGCATGCACAGCAGTTTATTTGGGGAGTATGAATGGAAGGAGATAACTGGAATTTCAGTTAACAGTTTTACAAACTCCATCTACAGAAACTTGCTTTGATGAATAATAGCACAAACATTTCCAGTATGTGTGTTATTGACATCCTTTTTCCTCTAATGAAACCTCTGATTTAGAATAGTCCAAGAGCCAGAATTCAGATCCAAGATGACGACTCTGCACTCCAAGCACATGCTAAGTGTGCTCATTTTTAGAAGTCACCTTAGTAGAGTACTTATCCATAATTCATCTGCAGCTCCAAGTATGCTTCCACAAAAGCACAGAAGCCCAGGTCAGCCAGAACCTGGAACTGTTACTGGTCATTACCTTCACCGGTCATGAAAACAGTGCGAAGTAAAGCATTTGGATTCAACTTAACATGAGCAACACATTACAGTGATTTAAAGACAGAAGGAGGCTCACAGTTGCAAGATGCTCTGCACCAACAAACATGCACCTCCATAAATTGCAATACATGGTTTATGCTGCACCCAGCAGCACTTGCAACAGCTTCTATAAATACCTTTCCTACAAAGCCTGGCTAAAGTAGGTTAGCCTTCAAGTGCAAGAAACTGCAATCAGATTAAGATTAGTTCTCTCAGACTGGAAACTCTTATCAACAAAGCCCTAGATTGAAGTCTGAAATCTAACGTTAACCTACAGCAATTATACCCAATGCTACCCTGCATGGAAATTATCATCCATATGAATAACCATAAACAAAGTTAAAACTACTTGAGCCTTGAGAGCAGATCAGTTGTGTTAAAACAGCTTAAATCAGACACTGGACAAGTGTTACATGCTGAACTTCACAGGGCACCCTTACACATGTGCACCAATGTGCATAGCAGTGCTGTGCCAGGCAGGCAGATCTCTGCCCAGAGAGAATGGAACAGTAATGTGAGAAGTCACCTTTCCACCGAAACCTCCAGCAGGAGAGCATTAATGTACCACTCAGCCACAGCCCAACGCCAAGGCTAACGAAACACTGCTGGAGAAAACTTGGAAGGTGCATTTGTTCCAGCAACTTCACCTGGCCAGTATGTGAGGCCATATTGCTGCTCCACAAACAGCAGAAAGGCTTTGGAATCCAGAAAGAAGAATCACACTTGCACCGTGACAGTCACATTCGCACCATGTCAGGTGGTGGATAGG